CACCCGGGGCTGGCAATGGACAAGCAAGAGGAACACACGGACATCAATCCAGGGCTGGCTGAAGTGCTTGGTTTTTAATTACTTCTTGGGAGCATTGTGGCCAGGCCCTGTCCTCGATCCTGGTCCAGTGGAGCAGGACAGCTGAAAAAGGCCTGGTGGGATCCTTAGGCGCTTCTGTGGTGCTGGGGCAGAGTGGTCAGCACGTCCTGGATGAATTGTGGCGGGTCGGCCCACTCGTGGCTGTTGAGGGATGGCATGCTTCCCGCTTCTTGAACAATTCTCTGTGCCAGGGCCGTTCCGTGAGAGATGGCGCCCTGCATAGGACGCGACAGCGCAGCTTCACTCCAGCCAGCTTCCTGGAGGAAGACTTCACCACGGAGTTCCCAGAAGAGGAGCTGGACACCTCCTTCTTTGCCAGGGTAGGAGTTGAGCCACAGGGGAAAAGAAGGGGAGGAACTGCTGGTGGCCCCAGCAGCCACTCACAGCTGGGCCTTCCCTCCCTTGCCTAGGAAGGAGTCCTGCCGGAAGAGCCCTCCACATATCCCGATGAAGTTTTTGAGTCCCCCTCCGAAGCAGCCCTCAGGGTCCCTGAGGCGAAGGCCCTGCAGGCCCAGCCAGCCCTCACAGGGGGGGCTCTGGATCGGAGTGAACTAGAGAGGAGCCACCTGCTCTTGTGAGTGTTGCAGGGGAGGCACAAAGAGGCCAACAAACAGGAGCTGGAGTCCTCTGGAGGAAGGGAACCCCCCTCCCCCTTGCAATTACCCCGGGGGTGATCTTCTGTGCCAGAAGCTGCAGCCCTTTGGAAGGGTGACCTGCAGTTGGGAAACGGGGGTGGCGTCTAAAAGAAGACCTGGCTCCATCCATTCCACCCGGGACTCAGGCACCAGGGGAAAAGGGTTGTGTGCATGCTGCAATTAAGTGCACCATATGGGAACACTTGTCCAAGATTCCAGCGCTTGCTTTCTGACGAATGAGCCTGTTTTCCCCCCACCCCCTGTCTTCCAGCCCCCTGGAGCGTGGCTGGCGGAAACAGAAAGAGGGGGCTTCCGTGCAACCGAAGGTCCGTCTGCGGCAAGAGGTGGTCAGCCTGGGCCTCCAGCGGCGTGGCCAACGCATCACTGTCCCTGTCCGCAAACTCTTTGCCAAAGAGAAACGTCCCTATGGCTTGGGCATGGTGGGCCGGCTGACCAACCGGACATACCGCAAGCGCATTGATAGCTTTGTGAAGCAGCAGATTGAGGACATGGATGACCACCGGTGAGTGGAGGCCTGGGTGCCTGGGAGGGGGAGCAATTGATTGTGGCCTGATGGCCCCATCGCCCTCTGCTCCGCACAGGCCGTTCTTCACCTACTGGGTCACCTTCGTGCATTCCCTCATCACTATCCTGGCTGTGTCCATCTACGGGATTGCTCCTGTGGGGTTTTCGCAGCACGAGACGGTGGACTCGGTGAGCGGCAGCACCCGACCAGCCTCCCTGGTCTCCTTTCTCCTAGAGCGTGCCTGCCCCTCCTCTACTGCCGAGGAGACCTTCCTCTTCTGCTCCTGAAGGGGCCGGAGGGGGCATTCTGCCCATCTCCTCCTCCCTTTAATGGGCCTTTTTACTGGCAGGTCCTGAGAAACCCGGGGATATATGAGAACGTGAAATATGTCCAGCAAGAGAATTTCTGGATAGGGCCCAGCTCGGTGAGTGCCAGCCCCACCTGCCTCGTCCCTCCATGGCTCAGCCTTGTCCTGGCCAGATCCTCGTCAGGGTATCGGTCTTTCCGTGGGCTTCGGCTGAGTCTCTGCCGCCCTTTCAGGAAGCTCTCATCCACCTGGGAGCAAAGTTCGCCCCTTGCATGCGACAGGATCAGCAGGTGCACAGCTTCATCAGCACGGCCCGGGAGAAGGAGAAACACTCTGCCTGCTGTGTGCGCAACGACAAATCGGGCTGTGTGCAGACAGCCGAGGAGGAGTGTTCCGTAAGCCCACTTCCTTCCTGCATCCTTCCTTCCCACTGGCCTGTCCCCTGCTTTTGGGGAGGGGGCACAGGGCGCCCCTTGAGGACCCTGCTCCCGCTCACTTTTGCCCCTCTGCTTTGCAGTCCACGTTGGCTGTGTGGGTGAAGTGGCCAAGTCACCCCAGCACCCCCTTGCTGGCCGGGGGCAAGAGGAAGTTTGGCTCTGTGTGTCACCAAGACCCGAGGTAGGTTGGGGGGGGCAGGGCACGTGCGTGGGGCTCCAGATGTTGGCAGGGGCAGAGTCTGCAGTTGCATCCGACACATAAAGCTGCCTGGGACCTCTCCCTCCGCAGGGTGTGTGAGCAGCCGGCATCCATGGACCCTCATGAGTGGCCTGATGACATCACCAAGTGGCCTGTAGGTTTCTGGAGAACTAGGGAGCAGTGAGTGGCTCTGGCCAGTCGTCCCATGTCTGTCTGCCCATGGAGTGCGGGGTGGGTGGAGGCTTCAGAGGGCCCTTCTCTTGAGGAGGAGGAGGAGAAGGAGCATGGCCTGCCTGTCTCCTTCCAGATCTGCACCAACAACAGTGCTGGAAACCACACCAACCACCTGCACATGGACTGTGTGATCACTGGGCGGCCCTGCTGTATCGGCACCAAGGGAAGGTAGGGTGGGTGGCCCCGAAAGGGCTGATGGGGTGGCCAGCCCATTCTGCTGGGAGATGCCCGGGACCACCCCTCTTCTAGGACTGGGGGGCTCAGCTGCCCCAGCGCTTGGCTCATGCTCACCAGTCCATTTTACTTGCTGCTGCCGCCGCTGCTTCAGCCCGGCTTAACTTCTGGGCATCTGGTTCTCTCCTCCCAGGTGTGAGATCACCTCCCGGGAATACTGCACCTTCATGCATGGTTACTTCCACGAAGAGGCCACACTCTGCTCCCAGGTACCCGCATTCCTCTCCCGGCTGGCTCCAGCAGGCGGCCTTCTTTGACCTGGCTGCTCTCTGTCTTGCCAGGTGCACTGCATGGACGATGTCTGCGGCCTCCTCCCCTTCCTCAATCCCGAGGTGCCAGACCAGGTCTACCGCCTGTGGCTGTCGCTGTTCCTCCATGCAGGGTAAGCCCAGCCCAGGGCCACAAGCCCCTCTCTCTTGGAACTCAAGTCCTTCTCCCACTTGGTCACTGCTGTTTTTTCCTGCCCGACAGGATCCTGCACTGCCTTGTGTCCGTGTGCTTCCAGATGACCATCTTGCGTGACTTGGAGAAGCTGGCTGGCTGGCACCGCATTTCCCTGATCTACTTGTTTAGCGGCATCACAGGCAACCTGGCCAGCGCCATCTTCCTCCCCTACCGAGCTGAGGTATGTCTCACTAGCGGCTCATGAAGGGGGGGGGAGGTCCTCCTTCCCAAGCAAAACGTGTCCCAGGTTGAAGACCAGGCCCAGGGAGACCTCCAGATCGTTGGGGGCAATATGCTGACTCTGTAAACCGCTGAGAGCGAGCTCTGTGAAGCGGTATGTAAGTCTAAGTACTATTGCTATCCTCCGGGCGAGGGTGGGTGATAGCAGTTGGGGGCTGGGGACAGAACCCTCCTGGGCGGTTCCTGCCTCCCCTGGGGGCGGGTGGGTCTTATTTTGGCAAGTCTCGCGAACTCTCACTTGAAGACTTGAGATGCTCCCCACCCCACCCCCGAGTTGCTTATCGGAGCGGTTGGCAGCACAAGCCAGGGCCTTGACCAGGTTTGAGTAAGGCCTACCCTACCCAACCAGCCTTCCCTGCAGGGCAGCTGTCTAATAGCGCATCCTCTGTGCAGGTTGGCCCAGCAGGCTCCCAGTTTGGCATCTTGGCCTGCCTCTTTGTGGAGCTCTTCCAGAGTTGGCAGATCCTGGCTCGGCCCTGGAGGGCCTTCTTCAAACTACTGGCGATCGTGCTGTTCCTGTTTGCCTTCGGACTCCTCCCCTGGATAGACAACTTTGCTCACATCTGTGGCTTTATCAGTGGCCTCTTCCTGTCCTTTGCCTTCCTCCCGTACATCAGCTTTGGCAAATTTGACCTGTACCGAAAGCGGTGTCAGATCATCATTTTCCAGTCGGTTTTTGTGGGGCTCCTCTCCGGACTGGTGGTGCTGTTTTACTTCTACCCCATTCGCTGCCAGTGGTGTGAGGTTCTCACCTGCCTTCCCTTCACCGACAAGTTCTGCGAAAAGTATGACCTGGATGCGCAGCTCCACTGAGCGGGGGTGGGGTGCAGTCACTAGCTGCCTTGGGCAAAGCTGGCGTGGTGCTACTTGCCAGACTGCCAGCCAATTTAAAATCCCTGCTTCCCCTCGTGCTGCCTTATCTTGGCGACTGGAAGTCTTTCAGCACACAGAAAATTGGTGCCTTGTTCAATTTTACTGAACCTTTTCTGCTGCCGCATTTTTATTATGCTAGTTTCAAAGCGACCCTTTTCATGAGGTTTGTTAATTGTTACCCTGGTGGTGATTAAAAGCGAAGGTAGCGTTTTAGCTACATTTCCACTAAGTTTCGGAGTGTATCTGTGCCAAAATTGAGATTGCTGACCATGTGCCTCCCAAAGGAAAGAGCAGTTCTTCATTCAGTGTTGACTCAGTTTCTAACATACACTGAACTTAGATGAATTGTAACATTTAAAATGAAAGACTGCCTGTGTTTGATTCAACAGTTGACTTTGATGTCCTGTAAAAATTGTTTTTAACCATTTAGCCATGTTCCGTTATTGGCTACTTTATAGGCAAATGTCAAGCACAACTTCTTACCTGTAAAAAATAGAATTGCTCATATTTTGTTGGAATGTGCAGCTGTGTGCAGAGGGGGCAGTAACTGTGAATGCAAAATCATCATGAAGAAAATCTATGTGGTCACTAAGAGTTGACAGTCACATGATGTCATGAAACCAATCAAATACTAAGAAAAATGTTAACCACCCGTACCAGTTGTAGATTCACATTTTACTGATGCTATACACTATGCAACTGAGTGTAGAGGTAACCTCTCTCTCTCTCTCTGTGTGTGTGTGTAACTGGATGGATGGTAATTTAATAGAAAAAACTTTCAGTGTACTTTATTATAATTTAAGAAACTTTAATGTTACTGGCTGTTCCTTGCTTCAGATTCACTGATATCTTCGTATTCAGAAAAAGATCCAGCACCTTTTCAAATGTGGATTCTCAGTCACTGTTTCTTAAAAAAAGGGTGGGGGGGCAGCTGTTCCATAAGTGCAGAACTGAGTACCAATTATGGGGGTTTCTCAGAACAGAAGGAGATCTGAAGTGGCTTCTTCTCTGCTCCCTCCTACAGAGCCTTTTTAAAGAGGTTCACTCAGAGACCCCAGAGAGGGTCAGACAAATTCCCAAAGAGCACCAGGATGGTCGCCTGTTAATGAAGGGTAAGCTTACTCGTGGACCCCAAATCCCCCTCAAAATCAGTTAAGTTTGACTGAGGTGGGAAACGGCGGCTCCGAGGCTTTGGGGCTACTGTCCTGCCTGGGCTAAGGAGGCACATTGCCAGGCAAGGCCGGGCAGCAGCCAAAGGAAGGGGCGAGAGGGTGCACTTGCCTGCGAGTTTATTGCCGGAGCTTTTTCACAAAACTGACCTCGTCCCGGTTGCGAATCCCATACCTAGAAGCAGCAGAGGCAGGCGAGGGGGTCACCTCGAAGCGGTGGGTGCTCTGCCCGCTCCCCAGAAGACAAGAGGAGCAGGGCTGGTCGCGCAAAGCCCACCGGCACCTTCCCCAGAAAGCCTCCCGCCTCGCGACGCCACTCACTCCCGCAGCTTCTTGCGGTCGTCCGCCAGCTTCTCTCCGCCGAAGGTCAGGCTGTAGGTCCGCCAGACGTGCCTCCTGCGGGGCAGCGGGGCGGCGATGAGCGGGGCTTCCCCAGCCAGCCCCCCCCCCCCCCCGCAGCGCCCGCACTCACCAGCTGATGTGCCGCGCGCCGCCCTGGCGCTCCTGCCGCAGCTGCACGAACCGCCGCAGCGCCTTCTTGAGCTCCAGCACGCTCGCGCTCTGCACCACAACCACGGCTGCCGGGAGAGGAGCAGCTGGGTGTCCCTGCGGCGGCCGCAAGGGGGCGCGCCGCCTCCTCCCACCCGTCCCGCCAGCGACTTACGCATGGGAGCTTCGGGGGCGTCGACTCTGCGCACGCGCACCGTCATCGCCTGGCCGTACTCGAGCGCCACCTGCGAGCAGATCTCCTCGGGGGTCACCTGCAGGACAGAGCGCGCATGCGGCGCGTGAACCGCCGGCTACGGCATCCCCCGCCCGCCCCCTCGGCCACTGACCTGCGCCGGGAGGTCGCAGAGGAGCGGGTCCCTGACGAGTCGCGCCAGGCCGGCCTGCCAGCGTGCCACCGCCTCCGCGTGCGCCTCCTCCTCCTCCTCCTCCATCATCTTCGTCGTGACCGGATCCTCGCGCGGCCGGAACCGGAAGTAGCTTCCATTGCGCAGGCGGACGTCCGAGGCGCGCCGAGATGCTGCTCTTTTGCCCGGCCTGTGGGAACGTGCTGGTGGCCGAGGAAGGCGCCCGCTGCCACCGCTTCGCTTGCACCACCTGCCCCTATGTGCGCAACGTCACGCGCAAGGTGGGTGTCCGCGAGGGACGGGGAGGGTTTCTCCCTTGCGCGCGCACTTGCCTCCACTCACCCCCTCCCCGCGTTGCCAGGTGACGAGCCGGCGGTACCCGAAGCTGAAGGAAGTGGACGACGTGCTGGGCGGGGCCGCCGCCTGGGAGAACGTGGACTCGACCGCAGGTGCGTGGGGGCGGGGCGCGTGGGGGCGGGGCGCGTGGGGGCGGGGCGCGCGTCAGCCCCTCCCCCGACTGACTCCTCCCCCCTCCCTCCGCAGAGCCCTGCCCCAAGTGCGGCCACCCGCGCGCCTACTTCATGCAGCTGCAGACGCGCTCGGCCGACGAGCCCATGACCACCTTCTACAAGTGCTGCAGCGGCCGGTGCGGCCACCGCTGGCGGGACTGAGCGGCCCGACGGAGGAGGAAGGCAGCCAGGAGTCGATTTAATAAAGCCGCTTTATTCGCTCTCACCGGGCCGCCCCCGCGCCCCACTTGTTCCAATTCAGTTCGTAGGGGAAGACCCTGCCCATTTTCAGGGTGCAGTCCATGGCCGGCTCGTAGAAGGCGGCCGCAGCGTCGCTCAGCTTGCCGCCGGGGAGCGCTTCTTCCCAGGTAGGCTTGGAGAAGAGCGAGGCGGTGCCGCGCCTTTGGAAGTGGAATTTCCTGATGCAGCCGAGAGATTCCAGAGCCTGCAAGGAGCACAGAGGGGCCGTCAGCTGGGGAGGGAGGGGGGCGCTCCAGTTAGGAACTGCCTGGCAGCTCAGCTGCAGTAACGTACGGAAAGGAGGCCCGGCATTCTGGGGGTCAGGAAAAGGGTTGTCCCAGGCTGGGAAGCTGGTTTTGGATGGTGCCCGCGCCAGATCCCAAACCTGTTTGCCCTTCTGGATCTGAACAGCTGCCATTACATGACCTGCCCCACCAAGCACACCCACCTGTAGGATCTCCAGGAGAGCCACTGGCTGCAGGACGCCCAGGTAGTGGTGCTGCAGGGCTGCTTCTGTGATGCCAGGTTTGGTCATAATGTGGCCGAGCACTCCTTCCATGATCCCTTTGCAGACTGGTTTGTTCAGACTGCCGTCCACAATGCGCCAAGGCCGCCCCACAAAGCAGATGCTATCCCTGCTTAGGAGAACGAGCCAATTCACTGGGTGCAAATAGCCTCTCTCCTGGTATCAGGAAATGTTTGTGAAGATGCATCCAGTAACTGTGGTGCAACACTGTCATTCATTCTGCTTTATCTCCTCTATCTGTCCTACCTCCAAGTCCACTCCCATCTTAGCATCAAATTAGAGGCTCCTTTGGCATCTGGGAAGCCGAGGGCCGTCCCTGCTTTGCCCTCTTTACCGTATCTGCACAGAATGCCTTTCATAAAACCCTGGAAATCAATCCAGAGAAAGCTATTTCATAGAGAGCTTGCTCTGCATAAAACTAAGCAAAACATAGACGCTCCTGCTGCAGCTCCAAAGATTACAACTCAAGATGAGAATTCCAGACCTTAGTGCGTCTATAGATGAATGGCTGGAATAAAAGCACTTCCTATTTTCCTTGCTGTTTCCCAATTGCACAACAAACATAACTGCTACAAAGTTGTTTTTGCTTACCATCTGCATGCTTACCGTCTTGTTTCAACCTGAAGTGACTGCCTTGCCGTACATCCTAGGGAAGAGCAAGAAAGACCATGAGCCACAGAAACACCCGTCTTATTTCTACTGAATAAGTATTTAGTGTGATCAGCAGAGTTGCTACTGAACAAGTTTTAGCTGATCGAGGAGGTTCCGTTTCATGGAGTGATGAAGAAAACAGCATCGAGACAAGGATCACCAATGGGATGTGTCGATAGAGATTTTCTTGTCTCTGGGAGAGAGGGCCTCCCCCACCCCCCACCCCCGGTGCAAAATTTAAGCCAGCTACCTACTCCAATCCCTCCAACCCGCTTCCTTTCTGGAGGGTCTCAGTACAGTTCAGAAGGGCTTCAAACTTACCACTGAGAGTTTCACTATCCTCTTGGAATGATAAGGAATCCTCATGGGGCTCCTGGCTGGGCATTCCCCCATCCAAGGCTCCTCTGCCAGGGAGGGCCATGGCTTTTTCCCTACAGGAAGGGATGCCCGTCCTGCACTTCTGCATGGCAGCTCCTCCTTGTGTTGCAGGGGTCCTGGCTGCCTCCAAACATGGGGAGTTTGAGGGAAAAGTCCTTGTTTCTGGAACCCCCTCTTCTCCCCTCGGTCTTTTCCTGGCTGGTTCTTCTCTTGCTGCTGCAGCACAGGAGGCAGCCTCTCCTTCTTGCCCAGCATGGTCCCTCTCCCTCTTCATATGTGGCTCTTTGCCTGGCAGGTTCTGACTGATGTCCTTGAGACCCACAGAATGCAACAGCCACGGACTTGCAAATCTTTTTGCCACCAGCCGGGTAGTTTTCCCACCTACTTCCAACACCTGCTCCAAATTAAGAAGATCCTAAATGGGAGGAGAGGGGTGTCATGACCCACAAAGTTTGTAGGTGAAAAACAGGCAGATGGTGAAAGGCTTCTGACCCACAAAGGATCAGAAAATTCACCTCCCCAACATGAACCGAACGTGCTCAATTGCAGTGTTTGTTTCATTAGATTTAGATGCTGCCTGACTCCAAGGCAATGCTGGGCACTGACAATTTTAAACAAAAGAACCAGATAAAATATAAAAGAAATTAACATCCACCTGGAGAATACATCCATCATGTATCCAAACTGCATCTAACAATGGGACCCCAGCCATCCTACCCCAGCCAGCAGAGTTAAGAATTCTTTTTTTTTTTTTTTGGGGGGGGGGGGGGGGGGGGGGTAGTATAATTGTGCAGTGCTCTAGGACGGCATTTTGGTTAGGAGGCTGCAAAGGAGCTCCCACTCTGGGCTTTTTTCTCCCTCTCGTCCATACCAACCTGAAGATATTGCTGCAAAACCTCAGTGCGCCCCAAAACCGCTTCTTTGTAATGCTGGAACTGCCTGGCAAGATTCACCTGGTCCACCCCAAAGTGTGAAGTGGCCTCTATGGCAGAGAAGATCTCAAGGGCTGCAGCAGCATCTCCAGGGCTGTGATTGTAATGATCCAGCAACTGAAGTTTGGGATCACCCTCTTCTGGGACCCGGAGACATTTGGTGAAGGAGCTGGGGAGGCAAGAGGCTCCAACCGGCATGTCCTCCAGATCAGATGGGACTGTGGGCACAAACAGAAACCCTTCGGCTGACAGGAAGCGCAGACCCAGATAGCTGCTCCCCAGGCCTAGGCCAAAGGCAAGCAGAGGCCACCATAATGATGGCTTCTTCTGAAACAGGACAAAGGAGAAACTATTGTGGCACCGTTTGTCCAAGAACGCCTCTACCCAGGAGACTGACCTTCAGCCAAGAGGCTGTTTTGGGCAGGTGTTGCTCTCAGCTTCACTTTCACCTGACAGGAATCAACCACAATGTTGTCTGTGGGGCTCAAATTCCGGGTGTTGATGATCCCTGGGGCACAATAGCCTCTCATGAGCAGGTAGTTAGTACGTGAGGCCTGCCGGGCCTTCACCTCAATCTGGCGCTTATTGACTTGATTCTCCTCCACATCGTCGTCGTCGTCGTCCTCCTCCTCCTCCTCCTCCAGCCCATCTTTCCCTAAGCTACAAGAGGCAGGGAGGAGTGAAATGTCAGCAGGGCTGGAGTAGAAGGCTGGTCTTACACTTGGATCAGCAAGCAGAAGATTGCAGCCGGCCTACCTTCCAAGAGAAAGGCACGGCACAATGAAAGGTTTGAGAAATTCAGTTAAAAAATATTAATTGAATCCAAACCCCCAAATCTGGCTGGAGACACTGTGGCTTCCTACCTCTTGATGACTTCATTCTCCACCATGGTGCTGTCAACCACGACAATCTGCTCTGGGATTGCAACGTCTACAGAAACCAGGCCGAGAGAGAAGAGGGCCAGCAGAGCAGAGCAGTAGCCTCCTGGCCCATCTAAGGGAAACGTTACCATCTCAGCCCCGGGGAGGAGGTTGTCTTGATCCTTAAAGGAAAAGCTGGAAACAGCATCCTGTTTTCCAGCTTCTTTGAGTTTTAAGAGAAACTGGTAAGCTTCGCTGCAAAGGGTGCTGGGAAACCGCCAGGTGAACACTCTGGGGAGAACCAGGAAAGAAGAGACTGTCTCAACAGACAGGACTTGGAAGCAGGAGACCAGGGGCTCCCCAATTTCTGGACAGCAGGAACTGTTGGCCACAGCCCCTGAGGAAAACCGCTTCCCAGTTGGCTGGCTACACATCCTTCGTGTTCGGCCCTGCCGACTCAGGATGGAAGGAGAGGCAAGGCACCAACCTGTAGTAACTCTGAGAGAGCTGGTAAGACATGGGCACGAAGGGCAGTGCCCGATTTTTCTTGGGGCCCAGGCTGTGATTACCCCGGCGGCGGTTCACCAAGCCCCTCTTCTGACAATCCAAGAAAGCTTTCACCAGGATGTCGTCCTGATAGTCACGGTAGAGGCGGAAGGTCTGCCGATGGAAACGCCCCTTTCAGTGCCTTCGGCAGCCCCCCCCAAACTCCCCTTGAGGAGGGGCACCTCCCCCGATGCTTCACAGCCGCTTTGTTGGTCTAGCTGTGGACAGGAGGGGGCACCTGGCCAAGACCCTCACCCTATCCCCGACTTGAGGCCCCAGTCCCTCTGCAGTGTCAGGGCCACTCCTAGGTCCAGTGTCACAGAGGGAGGCTAAGGGGAGTCCAGAGCCAAGCGCTGACCGATAGGTGCACTTCTGGGATGGGATGGAACAAGGAACATTTGTAGAGTGGCCAAAAGCTTTCTCTGCTGCAGAGCAAATCAGGCTTATAACTCCCACACCACTTGTTGGTATCCTTTAGAAAATGGCCCTTCCTAGACCCGTAAAGCCCACCTTGTTCTTCTCACCTGGAAGGACTGGAAGGACTTCATCTGGTTGTTGGAGAGAGCCAGCGTGCTTTGGATCAGGTTCTGCAGCACCAGAAAGTGGATGTCAGCCACGCTAAAAGGAAGAGGAAGAGGCAGGAAGCCACAGCTGAC